TATGCGATATTGAGGAGGCTTATCCCACGGTAGTTGGCGCAGATTGTGGGGTCTCCTTTTTTGAGGATTGGGCATAGCACACTTAAATTCCAATCAGATACATACATGTACATATAACTTCAGATGCATTTATTGTATTGTACAATCTTGTCTACCTCTTTATATGTAGTAGTTGAAGCGAAAAAGTAATTAGCATATGAGGAATAATGCAGCTAATAAATATTACAAAAGCAAAATGTATTTATGTATCAGATATCAGATTTATCAAAGTATTTTATTTTAAACTAAAACTTAAATATTCGCTTCAATATTAACACACTGCATTCTCTCCTTTGGCGAAAGCAATTGTGAAATTTCGAAATATTTAGAATTATGGTTTTGTCAAGCGTTCTCATACGCTATAGTCGGAACTCATTTGCTTCCTCTTCGTAATTGCTCAAATAACATATTCAAATGTAAGATGCTCACACACTTCTATGACAAGTACGGAGAGATACCATGATGCCTCCATCTCTTTTATTCTTGATGTACTGCAGTCAGCATTAGTAATGTGGCTAAGTCCTTGTTACACAAAATTTGATTTTTAAAATTATTGTAAGATATAGAATGCAAATGTAAGACGGTATGTTTACTGTTTCCACATTGTCATCGCTCATCTTAATATTTGTGAAGCATAAGTTTATCAAATTGATAAACTTGTTTTCAATAAAATTTCCTTCCATCCTTCATACTTTCTTTAAACAAAAATACTGTAATCGCAACATTAGTGGTGCTAGTTGTTAGTAAGGAAACCTAAAATAGATAAGAAACAAATTGTACAATTAAGATAATATTATACCTCTGCATATAATTCAAACTGAAGCCTTCCAATTGTTATAACCTCTAATTACCTTATATTGCCAATTATTTCGTAGAGAGTATAAAAATTAGGTATATATATCTGTGAGATATATACTTTCTAGTGTTCATGGAAAATGTTGAGGGATATATAAAGATTTTCAACTGATATCGGAGTTGGGTATAAGCTTTGAGATTTCCTAAAAGAAGCTAAACCAGCATCTACTTAACTATATCTATATTTTTATAATAAAAGATCGGAGATTTATTATATGACATTCTCACTCCTCACGACATGGTTCTCAAATTGACTTTTGTTATACACTTTGCACACGTACAAATACATTCCAATCGTGAAGGTCAACATAATAATTACCTAGCGTGAAGTTAGAAGTGTTTTAATCAGTTTTTGGTATTTTCAAAGGGTCAATGCTAACGTATTGAAAATTTTAACGTATGTGCGGTATTGTCGGCACATCCAAGGCCACTCATATTTTTTAAGCAAATTTTATTACCTAAATGTGTAAAAAAATTAAATTTTTACTGAGATCATGTGTTTTTTACTTTTCAGATTGGATGGGAAGCCCCTTTGAGAGAGTCGTCTGCGCAGACTTTAATGGTAAGTATTCAATATGTTCTTTTATAATTTAACGGTGAAAAAAAATTCTTTGAGTACAGTGATTAAGTCGGCCTTTTAACTTATTATGTGTTTAATAGCTAAACGGTTTTCATCAACGTTACGGGCATCACGTGTAAATACTCTTTTACAAACTTTTGTCATTGCATGCATGCATCTGCACATACCTTTCCAATGTGATTATTCTGAATGTGATCTTTTTTTCTTTGGAACCGTTTACGTCAATTTTAGAAATTTAGAAATTTATTTAGAAAAAAATAAAACATAAAATGAAAAAAAAAACGAAAAAGCCAATCGTGCAATTACTAAAACAACAAAACAAAACCAACTTTTCCCCCTTAAATTATCATTATGTAAACATAAAAACCAAGGAAGGAAGGGAACATTTGATACTCTAGCAACTTAAGAACCAAACCCCGGGGAATTCCTTCTGGTGGTAAAAACAAACCTTATATTAAAATATGTTGAGAAAGAATTAAACTTATTGTTATTGGATATTGCTAAGGTTATCTTGAATTTCAAGAAATTTTTCATATATATACAACACACGCACTACCGACCTATTCTTCATAAGGTTTTTTTTAAAAAAAAAACTAACATCTTTATAAAAAGAATAAACGATTTGGGGGTATCATGGACACGATGTTATTTATTTTTGCCAATACCTTATACTATTAACATGCCACATACTCATAAAATGGGTTTCAGTTATCTCGCATACCATCCAATTAATGTGGAGTAAAGCCAGCTGGATGTTCTAAAATCGCGAGTAACAGTTATATGGGGCTTAGGTCAGTTTTAGCTCAATTTTATTCATTTTAAGATACACTATTAAGATTGAAACACGCTCTCCCATTTTCATTGATACAATTCACATTTTGACAAATATATGCCGATATAAAGTCACCCGAAAGTGCGAAAATTTTTGTATCAGGTATGGTATATGTGAGCTAAGGTTAGAATTGACCCGATTCAACTCATTTTTCACATATAGAAATACTGAAAGGAAAGTATTACCTCTGCGTTTCAATTTAATGTCTCACATGTTGACCAATTTATGCGTAAAAAGTCAAGAATAATGGGGTTCAAATAATCGGTACCTATGGGCTGAACAGGATTATGAGATTTGAACCATTTTTAATTATGAGGAGGTCACTTCAAAAACATTATTCCCACATAGGAGTATAGATTGTTTATCGATTAGTATTAGGTGAGTCCCGAGATGTGGATTTTCATCTGAAAGTGGGTGGTGTCACGTCCATCATGCAATTTTAACCCCAACTCTTAAAAGTATAAAGCTCTTTCATTTCATCCCAAGTGTACAAGTTGTCTCTGTCGTATTCAGTTGTTGATTTATAGCATTATCCGATGGCTCTTTATAAGTTTCCACTAACGGACGTTTTGTGGACGTGGTAGGCGTTCAATATGATCAATTTACGAACACGTCATCACTTTTTTAGTCACTTTACTAGGAAGTTTTCACAAAAGACGGACAGACGAACAGACAGAGTCAGTCGGATTTCAACTTCTCTCGCCATCCTGATCATTTATATATATAACCGTTAACCTATCTCCATTAGTTTTAAGTGATACAAACAACTGTTAGATGAGCAAAATTATTGTACTCTGTAGCAACATATTGCAAAATTATACGTATGATGTTACACTGAATGAAAATTTAGCTGTAAAATCGAAATAAGTCTTTCACATTGGAATTCACACATTCATAACTTAGACCTCAACGGACGGCAGATAATATTTAATATACTTATTACTTGAAATGAGCCTATTCATTCTGCTAAAACACCGACTTCATCATTAACTCTTTCATCGCTGGTAATGGTTGTAGCATGTCGATCAAATTTCAGTGTCGCTTTATATATGGGTAATTCGATGACTAGCTACAGGGAAAAGGAGGCGCAATATTTGGCTACGTTAATGGTAAAATGCAATACTTGGAATGGTAGGAAAGAATATTTGAGAAGGATCACAACAAAATAACAAAATTCGAACAGCGGATTCCAGCAGATTTTTGTTTGCTTGTTCTACTTTGCAAGATTAAATCTCAGAACAAGCAATTTGAGAACGTGATTTCACGCCGTTGCTTGTGGGCATTGATATACTGACGGGGAGTTTAGTGTATTTTATCGGTCTTCTTAGCGTCACAGTAGCTTTTTAAATCGCCAGATCGTGCGCTTGGTTAGTTACAACTCGTTTGAAATTTCAGATGTTAAGGCGTTTTTTAGTAATAAAAAGTAACTACTGAACTTTGACGGTAAACGACGGTACATACCACATATCGAAAATATATAAAATCTATATATATAATTTGCATAGGCATTCATACATAGTTGATATAATATATATCAAAATAATTCCAAAATAATGAGCGAAAATAGTTTTATCAAAAACGCATAAAATTCATAATCTGAGAATGTTAAGCTTACGATAAGGGAGTACGGTTTACTGAAGTTTTGAAAGCATATTTTTTGAGTAAATATATGTAAACGTTGTACCTTGATTAAACAAAAATAAACTATTATCACTAAACATATGTGGAAAAAAACCGCGAATAATAAAGTAGACACAGACACAAGATAATTAACGTTCACAAATACAACATTTTTTCTACATTCTTCTTCAAATAGACCATAACAATCACAATAAATCGAATTTGTCATTAGCGACATTCTGTTTGATATATAGGATTCTAAAATAAATAACAATAAAACATTAATATTATTCAAGAGACATGATTTTAGTGACACCTAAACAGTCATTAAAATTTACCAAGATCATCATTTGCTTTATATTTTTAACAACACTGCTATAATCGATGTGTTGTCGTTGCCATCATCAAAATTCTAAACATCAGATTCGTACTCATACGCTTAAACCGTAAATAGCTCATAAAACGATCGTAAAAGTAATATACGCTGTGCCATTGAACATTTTGTCGCTTTTAGATGATCTGTTCAATTTCGTTCGTTCTACCCTACGGCAATTAAATTAATGCCGTAAAAGTAGTTAGCGGAAACAAGAACATAATGTTATACATACATATATGCGAATGCTAAAAGAAAGAGGCGCCAGAGGGCTTGTTGACCACTTTAAAAATGTTTTATTAAACATTATTAACAAATGTTGTAATGTTATTTGTAAAGAGTAGTAGGTCTTTTAAATGGTCTTTCAGCATTTTAACACCTATAATATACTGTGGTCATATTCTACTCAATACATATATATGTATATGCTAATGTCCAATTTAAACCTGCGTCACAAATGAATTCGGCAGTAATCTAAATCTTACTTTAGGAAACATCATTTTACCGCTGAGAAGATTGACATTTGTTACTGTAAACGGCAATTTTTTAATAAAAAATCTATACTGAACGTTCAAAATAAACCTTTCAGACTCTTCCAACATGTTTCTACAGAGTATAATAATTTTGTTCACCTAATGGTTGTGTGCAATACCTGAAATAAGAGACAGGTATATTTAAAGCTATATATCAATATAAATAATCAAAATTACGACTTTCATTTCAAGTGACTGTCTATTTGTCCGATTGTCGGTGCTACGATAACTTGAGAACAAATTGAGATATGTAAATTAAACTTGGTACAAGTGATTCTAGCGTAATCGGAATACGGTCACGCCCACAAAACTCCAATTGAGTACCTATAAAACGCCATAGCTAAGTTCTTAATTAAGATTATCTAGAACTATGGATTGCTGCGACACCTGAGGGATAAAAATGTTGTAAAATGTGGGGTGCCGATATCCATCTTGGTGATCCTATTTTACATTGTGAAAATAGATGCAATTTGACTACAACAACGCCTACTTCTCGTATAGTAAAATTTTTCATTCCATATGATATCCTTTTCAGAGGACAAATCAAGTACCAATGATCATATACGGATAAAACTTTGCACAAATAGTACCTTTAAAGTATGCCATCTCGAGTCAAAATCGAATTATAACTGTTCTAGTCCAGATTTTAGTCTCTAGTGTATCTTTGTATCTAAAATGGTTAAAATCGGGAGAATGATTTGCTTTATCCCATGTAGCTTATAGCCCTTCCTTACTTTTTTTACATACTTWGATTATTACTATTGGTACTCAGAACACATGCCAAAGGCAAAAACTGCAACAATGGCACCTCAATCTGTCGTGCCCACCAACTACCAGTAATTCCCGATAAGCGCCATGCGTATAAATATTCTACATGCACGCTATCATTCTTGATGCAACAAATTACGTTAAAATAATAATGAAGGCGATGTTCAGTATTTGTAATCGAATGAGGTAGACCTATTTCACCCGTAAAAAGCACGTAGGACAACAATAAATAGTGGTGATTGCAAAATCATTAAAACTCACATCTTACTAAATATAATATATATATAGAAAGAAGAAGTATATATTCTCTCAATTTTAAATAAGTAAAGGTATAGGAAATGATAATAACATTTTGAATTTTCTATTATAATAACTAAGGGATTGGAAAATAGCACTCATTACTAAGCGACGCGGTTAAGAGCGTTTGATAGATTAAAATTATTCAATAATATTTATACACATACATATATATTCTTCCATTTTCTTAATCAAAACTTACTGTACTAGGTTACATTCTGTTAAGCTAGCTAAAATACTGACCGATAGATGTGTGACTGATACATGCATTATTTAGTGGGGCTGACGAAAGTTTATTGTCGTATATGATATGGGGGTTATGAAACGTTACGGACCGATTTCACTAAATCTCGATACTACAAGACCAAAAGACCTATGCTAATAAAACAATTATATAAATGTATAATATATTCATCAAATATGTGGTCACCGTCAACACTACAAAGAGAAATATAACTATAATAATATGTTTTTTTGTTAAACCCTTTACCTATGGGGCTTAAAAGAAAGCAAACTTGAACTTATGGTTGCAACGATGAACATGACGATGATAATAAAA